TATTGGGTGGGATACTGATGTAACACAATTTTTTTTATTAGGATTTTTCAGAAGTTATTTGGGAATTATGGAAATATATCCCGAAATTGTGATACATTTTATATCTGTGATAGTAAAATTAGACTGCCTGATTTTTTTTTATTATTTGCAATATCAATAAATCACAGACATATGGAAAAAATATAAATACATTACTATGAAAGTATTCAAACGGAGAAAACATTTCGAAAGAACTTTTTGTGAAATGAAATCACCTCAAAATCGACAGTTCAATATTTTCTATGTTATTGTTGAAAAAGAGATTAGATTCGTTGTTGATCATAGGGACTGACATTTGAAAAATATATGGAGATGGTTGAATTGAAATTTCACAATTTCACAGTTGAATGTAATTCGCATAGATTATATCATACAGGTTTTAGATGAGTTTAAGAATCTTCACTCACAATGGACAATACTAGGGTAATTTTTGTGGAATCTTCATTTTGGCATTCATTCAAGTTTTTTATGATTATATACAGTTTTGTCAATGTTGTTTAAAATCAAGGTTTCATTTAGACGATAGTTTTGCCTTTTTTCGGCTTCAAACATGAATCATTTTTATAGATGTGAAAACAAAGAATAAATTGTTAGATGTAGCCATCACTACGTGGTAGGAAATCATCATGAAAAATGAGAAATGAAACTTTCCATATTTTTTATCACTTTTATTTGTAACTAACGTTACTGCAGTTTCGTCCTGTAAGGACATTTTCAAACTTACACACTTCATATTTCAATCTAATAGAAAAAATCAAACAATAACTAACTTTGGAATCATTAACCAACTGTTTTTTTTTCCAAATACAATTCTCAGTTCTTTCATGGGTTTTTTTTTGAATTATAAAGAACGATTTACAGACAGTTCAGATTGTTAATACCTTCGTGTCTGTATCAACGTTTTTCAGGAACCTGTGTACGTAAATATATTTTATGTCGAAATTATTCACTTTACCCTTCAACTCGGAAAGCCGCCCTAAATGTAAGTACTCATCAACGTTGTTTTTTGTAAAATGTTCGAAACGTTTATTATTTTTTAACGATTGTTATATTACATTATTCATTTTGTTTCTAACAGAACTGCTTTGTAAGTTTCCATATGTATGTAAGTTTCCATATGCATGTCTTGTTCTTATACTTCAGAGTCCTGAAGATGAAACAATAAAGTTTCGTAACGTTGTCAATTGAGAAATTGGTTTTCTTCAATATTTTGACCGAATTCCCGTCAAGTTGACAATCAAAATCATATTCAACGGTCGCCATCCTATTCAAATAGACATTTTCAAACTAATACAATTTATTGTATCAGTTCATGAGTTCATTAACTCAGTTCGAATGAATTTCATTATTTGAGGGTTGCCTTTCATATGAGAACGACGGCTATAGTTCATTCACCCTTCGAAACTTGAAACAAAACAGTAGGAATGAACTACGATGTCTAAACAGGCCTTACCACAGATTACTGTCGTCTGAATCATCATATGCAGAGAATTGGACTGTCGGAAGACAGTGTGTGTCGCCTCCGTTTGAAAAATGATGAAACAGCAGAGCACATACTTTGTGCCTACCCCGCTGCAGACCTAATCTGGTTTTCAGGGTTTGGCATTGTCGCACTCTTACCATCTGACCTAAAAAATCACTCACCTCATAAAATAATCGGCTTCGTTAAGATGCTGGGTATGTTTCATAATAAAACCTTGCGGGGACGGGTTTTCAACCCATTTTTCAACCAACTCTTGGATGATTGGATAAAATGGAATACGTTTGATGAGTATGTTCCAAAAACATTTATAGAGACCAATAAAAGTTATTATAACAATTTTTCAACTTCTTTTTCCTTAGTAAAATGTTGCGTTGTATTTTGTTGAATAGATGAAGGGAGGAAAAAAATAGTGTTACAAAATGAACGTACATTTATTACAACTTTCTCAAATAAAAAATATTACAAAACTCATAAAAAATACAATTCGATGGAGAGTTTTTCTGGTTCCATTGAATTTTTTCTTGAGAGAAATATTTACAATGATATCGATATTACAACTTCACTACGCTCAATTTCAAAGAAACTATTTCACAGTTTTGGCTTCTGATATATATAGATTTATTTTAATTGAATGAGTAGGGTGACAATTATAATTCACCATTTACACAACACTAACAGCAGGTTCGACACACTACGTCATCTTCTGAGCTAGTTTATAACTCGCCCAGAAGATGATCATTTAATTTAACAGTTTTTTATGTGACACAAACAGCTTTCAACTTCATCGATGAAAAATTTCAGTTGTGGGATCTGCAGGAGTATATGCTATAGTGAAGTTGCATCAAGCATGAATCTTATGGAATTTTTGAATACATCATTTCACCAAAATCTGACATCCTAATCGCCCAATTAGAATAACATACACTGGATAAATAATTGTTCGTGTCACTCATGCTTTAATTTATTTACCAAAATGAAAGTTTCTATGATAGAGTTTAATTGTATTTGTTTTATTTGTTAAGGATGTCTCTTCTTTCTTCAATTTAATTCACGCTATTACCAACTGTTTTTAAACGAGAAAATCTCGCTAACCCAAGATAAACAATGGTCCTTTGCAAAGACAAGGCATAGTAAAAATTAACCAGTAAGTCCACTCCCACTACTCACAAAGTTCTCGGTGACCTCGAAACGGAGTGTGGAGTCAATTTCGTTTTTTTTTACCATAGGCATGCGCTCAAATAAAGAAGAAATTCAAGGTTATTATAGAATATTTTGTGGTGAATTATTTATAACCAACTACAAAAACTAAAAACGATAACAACAGCGCATAAACTAAACAAAATATCAGTTTCCGACCGTTTATTATAACTAATCGGATGTCCGTGATTCCGTCGAATCCTTCGATACTACAGCACTGAACGCATTGGTTGAGAATCTCATTCTAGGAGCGGTTGAAGGTCCCCGGCAACTCGGGCGGATCACGTAGTAAGCGAGCCTAATGGTTGTATTATTCTACTGTGGGCCAGCTTTGATATCGACCGTGAATGAGGACCTACTGTCTGTTTCTCTCTGTAAGACACCAGATGGAACCATATTTCAAAAATAAAGCATTTCTATTCAAACTGATCCAACATCAAACAGGCAGGTGGAAACAGTTCCACTGCTGACGAGACGTATGACAGGTCAATACAGCGCTGTCTTGTGTTGAATAATGAATAATCGAATATTAAGTAATCATATTACAGAGATATACTACATGGGCTGAAAAGTTTCGAACCTAACACATAGATGGTTTCATGATATTCTACTCATACGTTTGAGTTCTGTATCTGTAGAGTAGGGCAGGTGTAGGCCAAGACTCGTAGAACACACACTCTCTTATTGACGATAACTCCGGACATTCGCATAGAATATGCCTAGAGGTGTGTCCACTAGCCCCATATTATGGAGGTGTTTCCTTAGTTGACAGTGGCCAGTCAGAAATTCTACCGTTAAGCGTAGATTTTTATAGGCCATCGCCAGATATTTCTTCAGCGCTAGCTTTCCAGGATCGCCCAGGGTGATCTTGGCAAGATGTTTTGATGCCATCCCATCTCTTTAGGGATTGAGCAAGGGTGTGACGTTTGGCTAGTTCTGCAATTGTCTAAATCATCAGGCCATAGGTGCCACTGGTCCTAAAATTCTTAGTCCAGCCGCTTCCTTGACTAACGAGTCGGCAATGCGATTACCTTTACTCCTGTTGTGCTCTTTGAACCACCTCAGGATAATGTTATTATCTACCGAGGCTTTGGCTAAATCTTGGTGACACCCTAGTACTAGCCCTGAGGTAACACGTTGTCTGTTCAAGGCTAATAGGGTTTTTCTGCTATCAGTGCAGATTGTTATGTTTTTGCCAGAAATTCCTTTCCTGGTTATTTATTTTGTGTCAATTGAGATACCAGCCAGTTCTGTTTGAACCACGCTAGTATTTTTCCCATTCTCCGCTTAATCCTTAGGCTTAGTGATCTGGAGTACACTCCACATCCTGAGCCTTCTTTGGTTTTTGAGCCGTCTGTATATATGCGTATTGCATTTGTAGCATCTGACTCTGTGTTCTGTTTTATTTATGTTTTGTTGGGTTTATTAAACACAAACCTGGGTTCAATTGCATCACTAGTTGCCTGCAGCAAAGGTTGCGCAGTAAACACTTCTTGCCATAGGCTCAGCCTCAATTGACCCATTCCTACTTCGAGGTTTTCACCAGTCGTGCGCAATCGTAACATGCCCATTAACACAACCTCCTTAACGTACAGGTCCAGAGGGGTCAGACCAGTAATTAATTCCATTGCCGCGATTGTTGTTGTTCTCATTACTCCTGTGATGTTTAAACAATTCAATCGCTGTATTTGATATAATCTTTGGATGACCGTTGCTTGTAGAACTTTCGGTCCCCATGCAATGGCTCCATACGTTAACATAGGTCTTATTAATGCAGTCTAGATACTACAGGTGTACAGGTGACCACATTAGGGTGAAAGACACCATGCGCGTCCCACGACATTGCTCATAAGCCACATATGCTCTTTTTGCTCTACTCTGTAGGTGAGAGTTCAATGCTAGCTTCCTGTCGAGGATAGTACCAAGGTATTTCACCTCTTCAGAGAAGTTTAGTTTGCTTTTTAAGATTTCGGGAGGTTGAAAGCCTGATAAATTCCTTTTCCTGGTGTAAACGACCATTGTGATTTATTGTGATGAAAGAGTGTTTCAATTTTACACTGCTTTTCTTGATTGGATAAAACACCTTTCAAGCAAAGCAACGGCTTGAGAAGTGGTGTAAGGAATCTGCTTCACCAGAAACAACAATTAAACGTTGGTTTACTTAGAGACACCGATGATGCAGAATGCAGTGGTCCATATGAGGCAGTAACACCAGAAAACATAAAAAAATTAACGAAATCGTTTTGAATGATCGAAAAGTGAAGTTGCGTGAATAATCTGACATTGTAGAGATATCAAAAAAACGTGTGTTGGCTTTATATTGCATGAGCATTTGACTATGAGAATGCTCTGTTCAAGCTGAGTGCCGCGCGAGCACATTGTTGACCGAACATCTTGATGATTCTGAGCAGTATTTGACCATGTTTAAACATAACAAACCGGAGTTTTTGCGTCGATATATGACAATGAATAACATGGATCTATCACTTCATTTTGGAATCAAAAAATCATCATCTGAGGGGAGAGCAACTTGACTGATGAGTTGTACTTGTACAACTTGTACTTGACTTGAGTTTGTTCCGTTATTTTATCTAATATGGAAATTCTAACTGGGCTTGGAATCAAAGGTATACAAATAGAAAAACTAATAACTAGCGTTGCTCCCCTTCATGGAAATGCTCATTCTTCTGTCAGCTCCAGAGGTGGAGTGGTAACTTGGATCGCTTTTACTACTAGGGGGAGGATACCGCCATCTCCAAGGTTTCTGATGGATGTGGCCATCTGTTGAAGCCCTTTCTCGGAATGGAGGGGTTTCCACCGGACTGGTGCTGGAAGCAGTGCTCTCTTTGCTTCCAGTCTCGTCTTCTTCTTCTAGCTCTTCCTCTGTCCAACGTCTACCTGTGGAAAATGATTGAAACATGTACAAAGTGCGGATTACAATCATCTTATGGAAAAGTATTGTTTTAGTGTCTATGTCTTATCAAATATTCATAGTTGCGATTAACTTGAGGGGTGTTATTTTGTGTCTTGATATAGACAAGACATTGAGATATGTATAGAGCCGTAATGGTTAATAAATTAAATTTTTTAAATAGAGGTCTACAGCTGTCAGTTCATTTTACCCATCCCAGGATTCTAATAGCCGATTTAGTAGAATGAAAATTCTTTCCCAATCAGTTGGAAGTCCTCAAAAAACCAATCCTTATGGCAGCTTAGGCTGAAATAACCCCATGTAAGCTGCTTTCGAAACATAAGAGGGAACAAATTCATTGATTCTACGAAGCAGGTAAAGAGTGCTGGACACCTCAATAGCGAGATCTTTGATGTGTTCTTTCCAATTAAGTTTTTGATCCAGTGTTACCCCCAAAAACTTAATGGATTTTTGACTGTCCTTCAGTTCTTTTAGTGTGAACGTGATTGTTTCAGTTTTTTTGACATTCAAGCATAACTTATTGGCTGCAAACAAAAATTTCGATTTTTTTCAACGTGTTGTTAGTTAGTTGCTTTGGATATTCATGTTCAGGGTGACTCTCATAAATAGTAGTTTCGTCGGCATACTGAATCGTGTTCATATTCGGTGGAAGATCATTAACATATATCAGGAATTGTAGGGGTCCCAAGATTAACCCTTGAGGCACACCTGCTGTTACACTCACTGCTGGAGATCTAACACTACTTTGTTCTACAACCTGCTTTCATTTGGAAAGGTAAAAATCGATCTAATAAGCTATTTTTCCCCCTAATTCCATTGTACGGAAGTTTATCGAGTAGAGTCGAGTGTGACACACAATCGAATGCCTTCGAGAGGTCACAGAATACGGCTGTGAGTGCTTCCCCTCTCTCAAAGGCATTCACCGTGGCTCGCACCAGATCGGATATGGCATGCAATGTAGATAGATTTTGTCTGAATCCACCTGGGACTTTGAGAGCAAGTCGTCCGAATCCATAAATTCTATTATACTACTATTCATTGCAGCCTCAATGGGTTTTGATAAAGTTGGAATTATTGAGATAGGACGGTAGTTTTCTATCTCATTTTACTGAATTTTAGCTTCTCGGTATACAGGGTGTCCCTGGACTTCCTCTTTTCCTCTCGGGAATGTATAGATGGGGTCAAAATATCATCAGTACTTCATATACTTTTTTTTTCTTAAAATCCTTCGTTACCAAGTAACGGGCCCTCGAAGTTACAAAATGAAAAATGTTTTTATTCGATAACTTTTCAAGTGAATATTCAAAATCATCCAAATTTTGGTAATTGACTAAACAAATGAATTCCTTCGATGAGCTTTCATGCAGGAGTCAGTTGTTTTGCTACAAAGTCAGGAACGGACTACCCCCGATGGTCCACACCCCAAAACTTTGAAATGACAGATATTTTTCAA